TGACAGAGAAATCATACCGTATGGATGACAGAGAAATCATACCGTAGGGATGACAGAGAAATCGTACCGTAGGGATGACAGAGAGATCATACCGTAAGGTTGTCAGATAAATCATACCGTAGGGATGACAGAGAAATCATACGGTAGGGATGACAGAGAAATCATACCGTATGGATGACAGAGAAATCATACCGTATGGATGACAGAGAAATCATACCGTAGGGATGACAGAGAAATCATACCGGAGGAGTGACAGCAACGGGTGTCCTTGGGGGAATCATTGAGAAACACAAACTTTGTGTCGTGTTGCGCCTCGTGGCACTTGACGCCATGTTTGATTTATACGTCACAGTTTTCTAAGACGTTATTCATGTCATGTGACCTTGTCGGGGTGTTTTAATCAATTATTATTTATTCATTTTAATTACATCGATATACCATGTATATCCGGTATGGCTCGGCATTTTCATTATCCCAAATACAATTATGGTTATCGTATTATCTGCTTCGCCTGGTATTTCCGGGAATGCCACTAGGTGGGGTGAACAATCGCATAAAATACCAAAAGACAGATAATATATTCAAAAAATATAGTATTTGTATACAAAGCAGTATCCTTGTAATTATATCGATATACAGATAACTATTCAACTGTGTTATCAAGGACTGTTAACTTCAATGTAAGTGTTTAAGAATACGTGGAACCGTGTTTAAATGCTGACTGTTGAGGTTATTGACAAGGCAGACAACTCCTGTAGACAAGCATGTTTCATCGTCGTCAATGACAATCAAATAAAATCGACGTCATAATTACGTGTTTGAGCACCATTTTGAATAATGCGCGTGTACTTAGCAGTTCCTTTTGATCTGCTATCGTGAATTACGTTTGAAGTACCAAGGCGGGCCAAACATTACAGTCCAAGTGTTAATAACGAGGATATCAGCAAAGTATTTCTTCTTAAAAAAATAAGTAAATGTTAAAAAAAATCTTACAGGTTACAGAATAAAAAAGGCATTGTTACATAAGACCACCTAACTTTCGAAAAACGTTATGATCTTACTCTTAATTAAGTAAGCGGCCATGTACTCCAAAAGTCAGTAAATGCACAAATATTTGCGCGTGAATTACACGCACGCCCTTTGTACCACTTGGAGATCCTTTTGGCACTTGTATTCTTACTTCTTTCTGGCGTCGTATGAATGTCTGTACTGCCTCCGTGAATTATTTGTCTGTCCTGTATCCGTAACGATGAATGTCTGTCCTACCTTCATGACTGTGTGTCTGTCTCGTCTCTGTAACCCTGAATATCTGTACTGTCCCCATGGCTGTGTGTCTGTCTCGTCTCCGTAGCCCTGTATATCTGTTCTGTCCCAATGACTGTGTGTCTGTCTCGTCTCCGTAACCCTGAATATATGTACTGTCCCCATGGCTGTGTGTCTGTCTCGTCTCCGTAGCCCTGTATATCTGTTCTGTCCCAATGACTGTGTGTCTGTCTCGTCTCCGTAACCCTGAATATATGTACTGTCCCCATGGCTGTGTGTCTGTCTCGTCTCCGTAGCCCTGTATATCTGTTCTGTCCCAATGACTGTGTGTCTGTCTCGTCTCCGTAACCCTGAATATATGTACTGTCCCCATGGCTGTGTGTCTGTCTCGTCTCCGTAACCCTGTATATCTGTTCTGTCCCAATGACTGTGTGTCTGTCTCGTCTCCGTAACCCTGAATATATGTACTGTCCCCATGACTGTGTGTCTGTCTCGTCTCCGTAACCCTGAATATATGTACTGTCCCCATGACTGTGTGTCTGTCTCGTCTCCGTAGCCCTGTATATCTGTTCTGTCCCCATGACTGTGTGTCTGTCTCGACTCCGTAGCCCTGAATATATGTACTGTCCCCATGACTGTGTGTCTGTCTCGTCTCCGTAGCCCTGAATATCTGTACTGTCCCCATGACTGTGTGTCTGTCCCGTCTCCGTAAGCCTGTATATCTGTCCTGTCTCCATGACTGTGTGTCTGTCCAGTCTCCGTATCCCTGAATGTCTATCCTGCCTCCATGACTTTGTGTCTGTCCCGTCTCCGTGACCCTAAGTGTCTGTACTGCCTCTATGACTGTGTCTGTCCCGTTTCCTTAATGTCTGTTGTACCTCATTGCATGTGTATCTGTCCGGTCTCCATGATACTGAATATATGTTCCGTCTCAGTGACTCTGCATGTCTGTCCCGTCTCAGTGACTATGAGTGTCTGTTCCGTCTCAGTGACTCTGCGTGTCTGTTCCATCTCAGTGACTCTGCGTGCCTGTTTCGTCTCAGTGACTTAGTGTTTGTTCCGTCTCAGTGACTATGAGTGTCTGTTCGTTTCAGTGACTCTGAGTGTCTGTTCCATCTCAGTGACTCTGCGTGCCTGTTTCGTCTCAGTGACTTAGTGTCGGTCCCGTCTCAGTGACTATGAGTGTCTGTTCCGTCTCAGTGACTCTGCGTGTCTGTTCCATCTCAGTGACTCTGCGTGCCTGTTTCGTCTCAGTGACTCTGAGTGTCTGTCCCGTCTCAGTGACTCTGAGTGTCTGTTCCGTCTCAGTGACTCTGAGTGTCTGTCCCGTCTCAGTGACTCTGCGTGTCTGTCCTGTCTCAGTGACTCTGAGTGTCTGTTCCGTCTCAGTGACTCTGCGTGTCTGTTCCGTCTCAGTGACTCTGCGTGTCTGTTTCGTCTCAGTGACTTAGTGTTTGTTCCGTCTCGGTGACTCTGAGTGTCTGTTCCGTCTCAGTGACTCTGCGTGTCTGTCCTGTCTCAGTGACTCTTTGTGTCTGTCCCGTCTGAATGACTCTGCGTGTCTGTCCTGTCTGAGTGACTCTGAATGTCTGTTCCGTCTCAGTGACTCTGCGTGTCTGTCCTGTCTCAGTGACTCTTTGTGTCTGTCCCGTCTCAGTGACTCTGAGTGTCTGTTCCGTCTCAGTGACTCTGCGTGTTTGTTTCGTCTTAGTGACCTTGAGTGTCGTTCTCGTTCTGTAATTCCAGGAGCACCACCGTTTGTATAGAAGCAGGAAACACTAGAACATGTCATACGGAAAATCTCTGCAGTAAATCATGACGGATCATCTGATATATTTTTGTATGTTAGTAGGAGACACCTGAAAGGGTGAAAGGTCAAATTTTCCTTTGTTCCTTCCTTGATACACAAGTGTGATAGTGTGGTAATGTTCGTTGTGATAACTTTGGACCACGAACGTAACCTGCTGTTATAAAGTTAACTTTGTCCCAAAAATTAAGCGACCATTGAAGGAAGCTTCATCAAAAAATCCGTTTTTAGGAGAGAAAAAAGGAGAAGAAAGCAACAGCAAAAACATAGCGGTGTGAGCGTTTCTTTCCAATAAAACGTGATTTTTATACACAATTTTTTTTATCATTTTGATCGAAATTGTATAAGTGCAAATGAAAGTGCTTTGCAATTAGACAAAGACAGATTTAGCCAATGTGTTAAGTAGGCAACAATATACGTTTGTTTATATTTCTTACTGAGGGATACAAAACATAAATGTAAAAGTGCACAGACATGTCGACCGAACCTGAATATTATTTAATTGATAGTTTATGTTAAGTGTTTCGGTAAGTGTCGAGGCCAGACAGTGCCAGGTTAACATAGATTTGTAGTGTATAGCGTAAAAAATAAATACATGTTGGCGTGTTCAATCCAGCACAGATACAAAACAGACAAAAATTGAAAAATCTGATTTTAAAAGGTAAGGTTTTATTTTTATTTTTATTTTTCCCCGTGTGTATCTATGACATCAAAATTATAGCGGTCTTACCATTGATGAGACGGAGCCTTCCTGTGTATATACTTCATACCCCAGAGGGCTCATTATTGCGACAAGGGGTTGAGATAACGATAATATGCATATTAAGTTTTGTCGTTTAATTGTCTCGTTATGTCGACATGCTATTTTTCTATTACTAGGGAGACATATCCGGATAGGGAAAGTAGATAAGGGAAAAAACATATGATTTCATTCATTAGATTGTTTTAGTTTTAAAGACAGAATATGAAAACCTGCTGATGTGGTAGTTAATATATTTCCTGCACTCTTACACGTGAGTTTGAGATTTTGTGTGTCGTTTGTGTTTCTCCCTGAAACCTGAATGATGATATTCTTTACCAGTGCGTGATCGGCGTGGTTTCGCGGGTGACATGAGCTACCGTACATGATCAGGCACAAGGCACATATATCCCATTATTAATAACGAGCGATGATAGGGGTGTATTAATGCTATGAAGATAGGTCGTAGCCTGCCCCACACTATGTCACCAAATTCTTTCTTTAATTATCTTGATGAAGTGATATTGTGTATATAATGATGCTAGTGACAGGCCACAGCCTTTTTTCCAAGATGCACGTGTATTTCGTGACGAGTCTGTCGGGTTTAATATAGACAATTATGTGTACTAGTAAGATGATGATGATGACATTTGATAAACTCGAGTAACAATGCACGTACATTGCATGTCGGCGTATTATATGTTAATGTCTTCTTAGTTTACCATGACAACTGGTATTTTATCGTTCTTTCACGCAGCACGCGTACTGCCAGACCGAAAGTGGCACGTGTCACCTTTATGTAAGGAGTCAACACACACTTGCATTCTAAGACACATACAGATGATGTGTTTGACTTAAAAACCAGTAGTGAGAGTCTGTATCCGTCCTATTGTACATCAAACGATACGTATTGTCTTTCTTATTGTGGGCATACAATATAATCCCGCTGTCCTCTGTTCTACGGTCCAGTAGCTATAGGTCAAACGATACGTATTGTCTTTCTTATTGTGGGCATACAATATAATCCCGCTGTCCTCTGTTCTACGGTCCAGTAGCTATAGGTCAAACGATACGTATTGTCTTTCTTATTGTGGGCATACAATATAATCCCGCTGTCCTCTGTTCTACGGTCCAGTAGCTATAGGTCAAACGATACGTATTGTCTTTCTTATTGTGGGCATACAATATAATCCCGCTGTCCTCTGTTCTACGGTCCAGTAGCTATAGGTCAAACGATACGTATTGTCTTTCTTATTGTGGGCATACAATATAATCCCGCTGTCCTCCGTTCTACAGTACAGTAGATCAAACAATACCGATTGTCTTTCTCATTGTGGGCATACAATATATAATCCCGCTGTCCTCCGTTCTACGTACGGTCCATTAGGTCAAACAATACATATGCTTTACAATACTGTACGAGTTAGGTCTAAGGTGTAACCTCTAGTGGTTGGGCGGCGCAATAGAAATCGCATTCGTTTTTCTCCAAAATAGCGGATGTTCGATGCGCCGATTAGACGTGAACAGGTATTAGGTCCACGTGGGTTCCTTAGGGTTCTTTAGTTTCCTTCCACATAACAACCCAATGCGCCCTTCCATCTTGGCAAACAAGCATAATTGAAATAAGCTGATTGTTTTATAATTGTTTAGTAAAATGTAACATTTCAATTTAGCCATTGAATAAGCTCATCATTATTGGGTACTGTCGTCTAATGCCTTCTTATAACAGGCTGACGATTAGTTTATGAGCTTAGCCATAAAACTACAAACAGTTATTACAGTTTAATTTATTTCTAATACAACAAAGTAAAGTGACGATATCTTTATTTGTATTACCCGGTACAACAATAGATGACTAACGATACAAAACAGAGATCACATGACCTATCTCTAATTCACTGGACAGAAAGCGTGAGCGTCGGTACAGTTTTAATGCCTTGTTTTAATATATCTGATGTGATCTTGTCTAAATCTGGACGCAACTCAATTTGAGTAAAATCTTATTTTCCTATCTCCGACGCGTGAGAGTTCCGATGTAAAAATGGCTATCTTTGCGGTGATTGACACAATCTCAATGCATGGCCATGTATTCTGTTTCAATCAGCACTTGTAATCTACGAATGCATCCCATATTTACCGACTTAACTGATATTTGAGTATTCAGGCAAATGTTGTGGGAGTATCGCATTGTACACTCAAAAGTATGGTTAACTTGCTTTCGTGTATGGTTGACATGGTATCGCAGCTATACCTGGATATTTACACAAGCTACAAGAGTTAATAACTCTATTTCAATCTTTGAAATATCGATCATATAAAAACATGCTCCTCCCTTTGAAATAATTCCACATATTAATCCTGTAAAATATCTATACTTTTGATAATTCAAGCTTTGTGGATTTCTTTAAATGACGTCACAAAAAGCACTGATAATACTGTGTACAGTTAAAATATCAATTCTTGAGGGATATAGTTATAGTTACATAGTGATATAGTTATAGTTATAAAGTGATATAGTGTACAGTTAGAGTATGGGGTTGAGGGATATAGCAATTTTCTTGTGTCCCGAGACCAGGTCTATTTCCCGAGGCGAAGCCGAGGGAAATAGGCATGGTCAAGGGACCCCAGAAACTTACTATATATGCCTCAACCCCATACTTTAACCGTTTTATTATACCGATACACACTGGAGAGATAGTTTTAACTAAAAAATGTTTGTAAATCATAAGCGGTATAGCTTCACGTCCCAAATACCCTTTTGATGGCAATGGAGGCGATTGCTTACGAGTTCGGCAGCAAGCTCCGCCCACCTCTCGCCTGATTCGCTCGGCGGAAACACCCGAGTGTAGGTGTGTTTTAGTTCACAGACTAACACACCGGACTAAAACACACTCAAGCAAAAGTGGGGATATATTCGATTTAACCAATTACTTTTATATAGAGTAAATAAAGTAGAGGTGTAATAATTAAAGTTATATAGTGATATAGTTATAGTTTTATAGTGATATAGTGATAGTTATATAGTGATATAGTTATAGTTATATAGTGATATAGTTATATTTATATAGTGATATAGTTATAGTTATATAGTGATATAGTAATATAGTTATATAGTGATATAGTTATAGTTATAAAGTGATATAATTATAGTTATATAGTGATATAGTTATAGTTATATAGTGATATAGTAATAGTTATATAGTGATAGTTATATAGTGATATACACTGTAGTTATAGTTATATAATGATAGTTATATAGTGATATACACTGTAGTTATAGTTATATAGTGATATAGTTATATAGTTATAGAATTATAGTTGTATAGTGATATAGTTATAATTATATAGTGATATAGTTATAGTTATATATAGTGATATAGTTATAGTTATATAGTTATATAGTTATAGTTATATAGTGATATAGTTATATAGTTATAGAATTATAGTTGTATAGTGATATAGTTATAATTATATAGTGATATAGTTATAGTTATATATAGTGATATAGTTATAGTTATATAGTTATATAGTTATAGTTATATAGTGATATAGTTATATAGTTATAGAATTATAGTTATATAGTGATATAGTTATAATTATATAGTGATATAGCTATAGTTATAGTTATATAGTGATATAGTTAAAGTTATATAGTGATATAGTTATAGTTATATAGTTGTATAGTGATATATTTATAGTTATATAGTGATATAGTTATAGTTATATAAAGTGATATAGTTATAATTATATATAGTGATATAGTTTTAGTTATATAGTTATATAGTTATAGTTATATAGTGATATAGTTATAGTTATATAGTGATATAGTTATAGTTATATAGTGATATAGTTATAGTGATATAGTTATAGCTATATAGTGATATAGGTATAGCTATATAGTGATATAATTATATTTATATGGTGC